GGAAGAGCAGCGCTGGAGGGAGCGAGGGGCCAGCCTCCTGCTCGCAGAGTGGTGCCGCAGCCAGCGCTCCCTCTGAGGAGAACAGAGCCCCCATTATAGGGACAAGACTTGTAAAAGCCTTCGTCTGGGTTTCTGCGGGCTGGTGGTGCCTCACGCCTCCCCCTCGGGAGCCTGGAGCTTTGAGAAAGCGGCTCTGTAGGCGCTAGGTTAATCCTGGGCGACCAGGGGAAACCGCCGAGCCTGCCCGTCGGGCAGGGAAAGGGTTGTTTTAAATTTTCCTCGCAAGCACGAACTCTTGGGAAGACTCTCTCCTCTGTGTTGGCTGCACGAGTAATTGGAGTAGCTTCAGCGTTTCGTTTGCAAAGATCGCACTTTTTATTTCTGCCACCCTGTCGCGGCCATAAGGACGTTCAGGTCCTGCTGGGTCGGGCAGTCGATTCTGAATCCTCCACCTTGCCCTGACACCCCTGCGAGGCCCAGGAAGGGGGGTTTAACACCTCATCCCTGTTCTGCCCGTGAGGGGAGCGTTGCTGGTCATCTCACTGAGACCTAAGATGGGATATAGGGCCTCTGTGTCCTGACCTGTATGGAGGGAGGACACAGCTCCTCGTCACAACTGTCACCCCCTGACTAACCCATAGAAGCCACCTCTCATCGTGCTGGTTCCCCCCAGGCTGGCTCTTGCAGGTTTGCCAAACCCTAATTGCTCTTTTTTTTTTTTTTTTTACTCTTTCTCAGAGAGGTCTCCCTGGTCCACCAGGCCCTCCAGGTCCGCCAGGGCCACCAGGAGTTCCTGGTATTGATGGCATTGATGTAAGTGTTTCCCACACTCTGTCTAGGAAATAGGGAATGCCTTGACGTGTACCCGTATTGTCCTCACTGCCCGCTTTGACTGCAAGGAGTGTGAATTTGGCTGCGGATACATGTAGGAATTGATGGGTCTCATACTCTAGCAGGCTGGGGTGGTGGGGAGAAGGCAGCCATTCAGATTGTCTCTGATATGGAAAATAGAGGATTATTTATTTTATGTAAGCATCATCGTATGCTGCGATTATTTGCCTTAAATGGGGTGTAGGTGTTTTATAGTTCTAATCTCAGAAGGTATTATGTAGCATCACTCGTACTAAAGCATGATAAAGATTTCTGACATTATTCCTGATAGGAACTAGTATGTATTTTTCCCCAATTTCTACCAGAATTTTCTGTGACTATTTCTTTTAGTCTATTACAGAGATCATGTAGATTTAATATAAATTTCATACAATTAAGAATCAGTTTGGTGTTATTCTTGATAATCTGCAAATCAGTTTTTTTCATGAGGTACCGTAAAAGGTTGCTGTTGGTTTGACTAATACCTTCCTTTTGATATCTTGTTAGGGGGAAAGAGGTCCGAATGGCCCTCCCGGTCCACCGGTAAGTGATTACAACTACTTTGCATTTTCTCCTTTGACAGAAGAGGTTTTGAGTTTTCTTTCTGCTTCCCACTCTGAAACATGCTTAACTGTCTGTTTAAATTGTGAAGGGTCCAGATGGAGATGCTGGCAAACCAGGATCCCCTGGCTTGCCTGGAGAGCCAGGAGCTGATGTGAGTACACTTGATTTTCTGGAATTTCTTCTTTTTTTTTTTCTTAAAAAAATAATAAAAAAAAGAGTTTAGTCTATTTCTGTAGAAGCGTGACCTCCTTTTCAGGTCTCTGGCTTCCTCCTAGCTGTCAGTGGGTGCTGGTGGTATGTGTGGGCAGGAGAGGAGCATTCCTCCAAGCTGAAAGATGCTCTCTTGGAGGACCATAGCAGTGGCTGAGGAACAGTGTGAGTGCAGCGGGATCCTGCCACCCTACTCTGGAGAGGGTGCCCAGCAGCAGTGCCTGCGGGGAGAAGGCCGTGCTGAGGCCTCTGGAAGCAGCCTTAGGTCAACGCTCTGCTCCTTGCAAAGGCAGGAGGGGCATCCGAGCCAAGCCTCCCAAATTTCAGCCACTGCAGAGCCCATACCTGCTAATGACTCTTCCTTTCTTTGTGGAAAATAATGCAGAATAATAAAGTTTTGGCATCATCTAGTGTTGATGGCCTGTATGGTTGTATCTCTTGAATAAGGTAGTGGCAGTAAAAACACCTTCAAACGTTTTTGGGAAGCTCTTCAAATTTCTCTTGAGAGCAGTGTTTGAAAGCGTTCTTACTATGAAGCAAGATTGTTACATTAGTACGTTGATCTTATGCCATCATGCAGGCAAGCTTATGTTTAATTTACGTTAAGTAGTGGAATTCTTCTATAATTTTAAAGATAAAAAAAGAGACTCTATAAAACAAACAAATATATTAGAGAATATTGTAAATTATATAAATGGAGAAAATGTATAATTGGAAAAAGCCTAATATTTATGGAAAATTGCAATACTTTTAGAGTTCAATTTTTAATTTGCTTTTGAAAAGAGGTTTAGTGGACATGGAGCTGAAACAGTCTTTAGTTAAACTGTTCACATTTCACATTTCTAAGAGAAAATGAGTATCTCATACCACTTCATTTTTTTTCCTGAAAACAGTATAAGACCACAACCCATTTGTACATGTCAAAACCCCAGAAGCGGGTCTTTAAAAATCATTGCCTCTTACAATTTTCACTTAAGGTATGATTTTGCTTTCTGTGCCAGAATTCATGGCAACACAATTAAGTGAAACAGAACAACTCAACTGTTGCAATTTCTTTGCACTTGCATATTCCCTCGTATTAGAGGGTGAGTGAAACTGTGATGCTGGAATACTTCTTTCCAAAATGATGATCCTTTTTGGGACCTTATTGTACTTCCATTGTGCAGCTTTTAATTGGTGATTTAGATTTATAATACCTTCTTCCATGTTTAATCAATGGGGCAGTTCTGACATTTTAAATCTTGTTTTTCTTTCACAAGCTATTTCAGTGTCAGTTTTAATAGACTGGGTAAAGATACTGTACAGTAATTGCCTGTAATGAACACGTAAACCTTCAAAAGCAAGTTATCAGAGAAACTATACCTTTGGATGAACACTGAATTACTGAAAGTGTACCAAAAGTATTGGACAACTGTAGAAGCAAGGCTTTTCTTTTGGATACCTGGAAATTTTTGAGCCACATAAGCTGGTTAAAAATTTCCAAGCAAAAGAAAACAAGAAAACTCCAAATGAATTTTTAGTGGTTATATAATAATTGCTTTTTGATTTTAGCCAGATAAGAGTGGTTCAAAGACTAACCTCAAATCCATCCTGGCAGCTTTGGGTTTCTATTTTTAATTAATGAATGTTTTAATTGAAATGGAAAATGCTGTCAGCTGTTTTTAACCTGAGCTGCAAATTAAATACATCAATCTATCTCCCATTGAGAGGAAATAAGATCATGTGAGATGATGTGTTTAGTTCAGTTGTGATTTCACTGAGTAGTTTTGGAAGGACACATTTTACAGGCAGTGATGGTTGTCACTAGAAACTAGTACTTTGAACCTGGGAACTTCTATGCGTAAATAGGCATTTGAATTGTAAGTCTCCTGCAGTTACTTATTTTAATAGCTTCAGTAACCTGTGGTTTAGAATGATTTCTGTTTTGATCAAGAAAACCACGTAACCTTTGTATTAACGTTGTATACATTACTTCCAAAGGGATTCACAGGACCTGATGGCTCACGTGGAGCCACAGGACCAAAAGGACAGAAGGTAAGAACAAAATTATATGTGAAGTTACAGGATTTTGTTTTTTTTTTAAGGAGTATTTTTGTGTGTCTCAATGCAGCTAATGAGATGCTGCGGCCTTTCTTTCAAAAATAAAGCATCTGTAGAATACAGACCCATCGGGCCCTTTTCACACAGTAGAAAAGCAACATGCATTCCCCCAGCCAGCAGTAAGGAGTGGGGATGTTACACTGATGACGTTAAGGTTGAGGTTCTTCAGTAATGGTGAGGCTCTTTCTTTCTTGTTATACTATAATGTGCCATATTTTGACACACTGGGGACCAGAGAAGTGGAACCTGAATTCATCAGCAATCAGACAAATGTATCAGACAAAAGTATACTTTGGAAGTCAGAATAACTAGCCTGTTTGAATTGTTTTTCTGGGTGGGGAAAAAATAAGCCTAAGGCTGTATACTTTTAATATTTAGAAAGTTTTTTCTTTCTATTAAGTCTTAACTGAAACCGGCCATAGCGTTAATGAAGTGAATAACACTTGCAGAATATGTCTGCTAAATGGTACTCTTCAAAAGAAGAGAGCATCTCCCTGTATGTTGTTTACGAAACTTTATGCTAATGCCTCTTGAAAAACTCAGTTTTTATGTTCTAAAGGGTGAGCCGGGACTGCCAGGTGCTCGTGGACTTCCGGTAAGTAATCCGTTTAATACCTGGCTTTTTAGACCATAAGTATCAATAGTGATGGATTCTTACCATTCAATCTCATGAAGTAAAGCCAGAAACTATTTACAAGGTTTCAAAGAACTCATAAGGTATTAAAGTAGTACATTAAGGAACCTTTTTATATCAAAGTGTGCAGATATTACTGAAAGGATACATTTGGTTTGTGTGCTGTAGAAAAGAAAGGAGCGTGTGTGATGTGGTTACAAGTTTTGGATGCGTACTGTTGTTTTCCAGCTCTTTGTGGACACAAGAAAGGCCATGTTTTGTTTGCATAAACGAGTCCACAGGAATTTCAGCTCCTTGCCACATGTGTAAATGGGACCACTGAAGTGTAAACGCTTTATGGGACTTCCTGTCCAGATGAAAACAAGAAAAAATGTGAGAAAGGAAGGGTACCGTTCTGGTTGTATTTAATGGGTTTAACCTTCGTTTTGGGGGACTGAAAATAATTGTGAGCTGTAGGAATTTTACAGACTTGAGGAAGCTAATGATGGTTGGCCTGCAGAAACTTAGATTAGAAAGAAAACAATAAAAAAAAACTGAAGGAAGATGAGTAATGGAACAAGGTGAATGGCATGAAATTGTAATAGGACTGCACATAGTTAAAATTTAATTACAGATTAGATTAATTTAGGGGGCTGGTTAGCTCAGTCAGTAGAGCGTAGCACTAACAATGCTAAGGTTGCGGGATTGATTCCTGTTTGCTCCCCATGTGTTGCCTGATCTAGTCGAGAGGTGGTGTCCCTGGCAGCAGGGAGGCTGGATTAAAATGATCTCTAAGGTCCCTTCCAGCCTAGGCCATTCTAGAATTCTAGAATTCTAATTTTGGGGAAATTATTGGAATTAAATAGAAGAGGCATTGTATTTCAATATAGAACTCCTTTCTGTGAAACTTTATACTTTTGCCTGTATCTTTGTATTTCTGACCCAGTCCCATTAACTTTCCTAAAATTTTTATTAAGCAATCATTTTGATAATTGGCCAGAGAGGAAATTGTAGTGTTATTCTTGAAGGCATTACGTAACAGACATATTCAAACTTAAGATGAATCATTTTATCTGGACATTTGCATTTAATTTTCGTGGGTGTTGTTTCTTACCTGAAAATTCAGAAAATAGGTAATAGTTTTATAAGGGATGGTCAATCTATAGACTTGATATATGAGCTAATTTTAGTCACAGAAAATAGCAGAACTGAGGTGGCTTATAGGTAGACTGGAAGCCCTACATTTTTCTGTTAGGGATTTGAGTTTGTTTATTTTCAATTTTTGCTGCTGAGTAGATGGGAAAATAATTTCTAGATTGTTTGAAATGCCTTTTAAAATGTGTAGCTGGAATGCAGAAATAGCTTAGCTCTGTCAGGTATGTTACTCACATAGTATGGAAAAGAATATACATTGAAGGACTGCTATGAGAGAAGAAAAAATGGGGAGTTAAAACTGAATTACTGAAATATGAGGTTAAAATGCTGTAGTATTTTAGCCTGTTAACTGAAATAAAAATTGACTTGGAGAAAATATATATGATTTTAACTCACTGTTAGCAGGCTAATGTGAGAATGAATAATTTAAGAGCCCTCAGAAAAAGTGAGCGTATAAAATATGCATAGAGAGGGCAAATCTCAACTTAGAAATGAGAAAGCTGCAAACTGGACCAACTTGTCAAGGCAGAATGCTGGTTCCGTTCAGAGCAGACGTGGTTCAGGTCTTTTGTGACCATGTTTTCAGACTGTAAAAGCAATAAATCAGATGAGATTTTACATCATTTTTGTTTACCCTGAGGCTTTCAGTCTTAAGGTGATAACGCTTCAGTGAAGCTCGGTAGGGATTGCCTTTGGAGTTGTTCTGCCTCGGCTTCATAAAGCAGCTGGGCCTTGTATTCAGAGGTTAATCTGCGGGAATATTTCTAATGAGGAAATGAGAATTCTTAGTTATTTAAAGGTAGAGAAAAATGGATACACTTAGTCACCTCGTGTCATTACCCTTGTAATTATTAAGATTAAAGTTAATCCTTAGACCTCACGTTTTAGGAAGAAGCCTAGTGTTTGGTTTTGTAGCTCCATGGTTGTTAACACACACGTGCTGAATCCATATGGAAAGATTAATTCTCAAAATAAATCTCTTGGGGAAAATTCTGTTTATACAGGCATTCCTTTGGATGAATAGCTTTAAGCTGTTGAGGAAATAGAGCAGTTAGTGGAAGTTTCTCAGAATGCTGTCTCTGATCTGACTGTGGTGAATGGACCTGGGGCTGCTCCATTCAGTGCATGTGCTGCACCCTTCAGTCCATTCTCACTTTCAGGTTCACTCTAACTTGTCTGTTGGCTGACACACCGCTTGTGCTTTACAGATCTGACACATGGGTAGGATTGTGTGTATGTAGTGATAGAGAAATTTGAAGTATTTGAAGGTCTGCTGAAGGACAGCTTCTGGCACAGGGTGCACTTAAAAATACGGGTGTGCGACTCTTCGTGGTGGATGGCAGCAGGTCTGTGCTGATGATGTGGAGGGACTTACCAGATCTCCAGGGTGAGTGTCTCTGGTGACAGACTGTGGGTTACTGCCCACGCCTGTGTACTCCATGGGTTGGATGAGCACCTCCAAAGCCAGCAGCAGGTACCTGTAGATGCAAGGCTGCAGTCCCAGGCTGCATGGAGAAGCTTCCCCTTTTAGGACCCGGACAGAGGCAGGAACAAGAGCGACTGAATCGGGATCATTAATTGCTCTGTGCAGGTTCTTACTGTCTGATTGCCCTGGAGGTCTCAACACCACAAGTTGGTCTGCTTGGGAGTTTGTGGCCAGAAGGGTGGAGTAGCTGGGTGAAGGGGAGGCATGGACTGCTGAGTGACAGCCTCTCTTTCTTGGAGTCCTAATTAGGAAGGGGAAGAGGTCCAATGGAGTGGGCAGAGGGAAGGACTGGCTTGTCCTGAGCCCGTATGTGGGCTGGACATAGTAGCTGTATCTGCTTCTTTTGGTATCATGAACTTTGTCCACCACTGGTAGGGGTTCTCCACTAAGAACCTGCAGGCAGATTTCCTTCTTTCAGAGCAGATGATATTACAGTATCAAGTATGCGATGCAGAGAACATTTGGCTTGTATAGTGAAATATAGACACGTATAATGCGATGAATTGCAGCAAGGGGGTGTTAAGTAATAGCAAAGGAATTATGCAGGTTATGCAAAGTGAATTAAGGTTGTGCTGCATATTAAACAGTTAAAATGGAACGAATCTGATAAATGCTTGAAATTTTGCATGTGTTACACCAAGTTTTCTAAAGACAACCTTGTAGATACAATCCTAGTATGATATTCTGTGGCTTTTAAGCTCCACTCAGCACAGGCACTTTATTATGTCAGATCTCCTGAGGATTTAAGTAGGTATGTGATTTTTATATGCCAGTGTTTCATACACATCATTGACACTGTTCTCCATAAAACTGTCCATTCACTGTGTTAATACAAGACTTGAGGGATCTGTTTTCTTAGGTGGAGTGTATTGTTGAAATAGGCAGAAGCACATATCTTGGACACTTACCGTTAAAATGATTCAGAGTAATACTAATGGAAAATATAAGCAGGAGCAGTTTGGTGTTCTTTCTGATTACCAAAAAGTGCTAGTTTAATGGATTTACACCTTGGGGAAGCAATGGAAAAAATGTTCTCTTTTATTATCAATTTAAATGTGCTGTTAGAAGGAAATGGTTATAGCACTGATGTGTTTATCGTGGTACTTGATAATTAGCTAAACCCAAAGGCTTTAATGTCTTCATTCCTATGTGGAAGCATGTGTGTTTGTAAATAAATGCTGCTGCAAGGCAACTTAATAATTTAATTTTTCTCCAGATATTAATTACTTAATAATAAAATTGGTATTTAATACTAAGTTTTCAGAATGATTTTGCAGAATCAAACGTCAGGGTTTTTTGTACCTTTTTATCCTATTCTTGGCAAACAGCTTGATTAGGTGTGAAACCCTCCCCACATTTTTGACCTTTTTCGTATTTCACAGGGCAAGGGGCTTCTTGGACCACCTGTAAGTATAATTTTTACAATTCCTAAATATACTGTTTAATGAATCTGTTTAAGTATCAAGTAAAGCTATTACACTGTAATAAAAAGCAATTCAGTGAAAAAAGAGACTGATTAATGCTGTTGTTCTATGTCTATTATGCATGCTTTCTTCAGCCACTACTGAGGTTGCCTAGGTCTGTGGTCTGTGTGGTAGCAGTACTGGTGTCTGAAGATACAGGTTGTTGTGTCTGAAGATACAGGTTGTTGTTGGAGAGAATTACACATTCTCTCTCTTTCAATGCTTGTTACAGAGGTATTGTATAATTTAAAAATACTGTTTAACTTGGTTGTTGTAGGGTCCAGCTGGTGCAGCAGGACTTCCTGGGGAAGTAGGTCGTGCTGGTCCACCTGTAAGTACCACTATGTTTGCTAAAAATGCAGGTTTATTCAGTTACTAGAATCACAGAATCGCTGAGGCTGGAAAAGACCTCTGAGATCATCAAGTCCAGCCTGTGACCCAACACCATCACATCTGCCAGACCACGGCACTAAGTGCCACATCCAGCCTCTCCTTAAACACCTCCAGGGACGGTGACTCCACCACTGCCCTGGGCAGTGCATCCCAGTGCCTGAGCACCCTCTGCGTGAGAAAGGGCTTCCTGAGATCCAACCTAAACCTGCCCTGACGCACTTTCAAGCCATGAAGTTACTTATAGAAAGTACTAGGTACTTCTGTAAGTACCAAGAAGGTAATTATAGAGAAAAAATGAATAATTACTGTGCTGTCTAAACACTCCATAATAAAAGCACTTGAAAACATACTTTTTTACTTTACAGTGATCACTGGTATACGAAAGATTGTGTATGAAGCTTATTAGAAATGAGCAACAATGATTAAACCCAATGTCGGGGCACCCATTAAGTTAGAAATAATTGTTTCATATAGTTTCCTGTACTACTCCGCTTATTGAAGGAAAACTAAAATCAAAAAACTACATCTGTCAGAAAGATAGGAAATGTAAAATGTAACATTCAATGCAGACTTTTAGCTTTACTCCCCTCTTTTCACATATGTGGTTATGTACTACAATGTATATTATTTCTGTTTTCCATTTGCCTATCAGTGGTTATGACGATTCAGTATTTCTTCCTAGTCTCAGTTTAACTGTGACTCCATCTACTGACCTCACTGCTAAACTGTGCACTCAGCTTCAGCACAGTCATATTTTGACTCCATACTTCATCACTGTAATGCAAATTGAAACCGCTTGGTTTTTGTGTTTTTTTTTTTACTTGAAATCAGAAATAGCATTACAATTTTGTTTAATGAAGCCTACTTTTTAATGCATACCTCTCCTGATACATTGCTCTCCGTCATATAAATGAGTATAAAAAAGAATATTAAAACCTGCCAGTTTGTTTTAGAAGGTGATTCGTCCAACTGACTGTCTTGTCTGTAGCAAGGGCAATAATGAATACGTAGGCAAGTGTACAGGCTATGTGTAAAATGACATTTTTCTGTCATACTGTCCCACATTCTGGCTGTTGGCAGTTCAGAGACTGCCTGAACTAGAAGTTTTATCTGTGCTGCTTTTGTAAAAAGCTGTATGTAAGCCTATCCACCATTCATGTAGTCAGACCCCTTGAAGAGCGGCTGAGAGAACTGGGTTTGTTTAGTCTGGAGAAGAGGAGGCTGAAAGGAGACCTTATTGCCCTCCACAACTACCTAAAAGGAGGCTGTAGTGAGGCTGGTGCTGGTCTCTTCTCTCTAATTACTAATGACAGGACAAGGGGAAATGGCCTCAAGTTGCGTCAGGGTAAGTTTAGATTGGATATTCGGAGGAAGTTCTTTACTGAACGAGTGGTGAGGCACTGGAACAGGCTGCCCAGGGAGGTGGTGGAGTCACCAACCCTGGAGGTGTTTAAAAAAAAAGTAGATCTAGCACTTGAGGCTGTGGTGTAGTGGTTAGGTATGCTGGGATGAAGGTTGGACTAGATGATCTTCAGAGGTCCCTTCCAACCCCGAACATTCTGTGATTCTGTGAATCCATTTATGTCACAGATCTCCACAACATAATGTGCTAATGAGCCACACAATGTAATTTTATGTTGTGTGGAAAAGAAATACTCCTTTTTCAGTGTTTTTAAACCTATGAATCTGTAGCTCATGTCTTGTGAAAATTAGTGAATAATTTTTCTATATTGATCATGTTCATTTCATGTCTGATTTAATAACATATCAAAAATAATATTGATGTGACAGTATTAAGTTAAAAGGTGGTCCCTGTCAGAATATTAATTTATTTTACTTAAAAGCATTCAGAAAAAAATATTTGCAGAGGTTCTGTTGTCTTTACTTCTGAAATCACTGGACATCAAAACTTCACAGGTGAAGGTTCTAACTTGGTAGATCCATCTTGGACTCTGAAAAAGAGGATTTTTTGTTCTCTGTGCTTTCAGCATTTTTGCCAGTTTCTAGGGTTCTTTTAATTCAGAACTTATTTAACAGTTTTAATAACAGAGTGCACAGATGATCCTGTGATCAGATGTTTCAGCTGTTTAAAGAAGCTGAAAATATTTTTTTTGGTGGCTCCTCTTCTACAGCATGGCTCCCAATCTACCAAGAAAACAGTTTTCCCACTCTACTTTGGGAGTTTTACTGTGGGTTGACATTTTAGTTGACTACCAATCCTGTCTTTCTGCACCTAATGAATTTCTCGCTGTTGTTGTGTGGTATGAATATGTGACAGCTGGTTGTCATTATTCCTGTAAATCAACATGATTATTTTACCCTTTCTTTTAGGGAGACCCAGGAAAAAGAGGACCACCAGGGCCACCAGGGCCACCAGGTCCTCGGGTAAGTGATTGTCTTTGATATGTGCTTATGTCTGAGTTATATCTCGTTGCTGTTTGAATGAAACTTCTGAAGTCCTGAGGCTGAATACCGACTTTAGGATTTCAGCAGGCTATATTAATTCATAGCATCTAGAGGCTTGGGCTCAAAGCCTGAGACACAACTCATTTAATCATACCAACATTTAATCTTCCATTTAGAGAGCAAGTTTCTAGTCTTTACAGTTAGAAGAGATAATTTGAAATGCAAACTGGCGTGTTACCTTCCCATTTCTGCAAGTGATCTTAAATTGCAGCTTTTACAGTTCTTAAATTTCCCTGTGAATTATAGTATTACAGTAAGTGCAGTGTTTGTTAGGCCTCACCAGTAGTAGTACTTCAGCAGAGGTAGACTTTTCTCTGGTAGGAGGAGAAAAATTGAATATTTGTCTCAGGAGCCAGAAATATGGGCTCCCAGGTGGGTTAAGTTCAAATATCTTTCTTGCAACCAGCCCTGCTACTTGCAAGGGATAGAAGAAAGCTTTACACCAGTGCTTTGCTTCTCGAGGGGAATGGTTATCTTCCCTGAGCCTCCCAGGAGGAGGAGTGTGTGTAATGCCTTTCTCGTGTGTCTTATTTACCTGCCCCGGGAGATAAAAGGGAGCATTTGACAGACACAGCGGTGGCTGGGCTCTGTGAAATGCAAATGGCTGGGAAACATGTGTCATACTAATGTTTTTTTTAAAAGCTGTACTGTTCCCTTGCTGGACAGGACCTAAAGCCGTATGCTGTACTCACGCCCTGTTTCTCGTTTTCATGAATGTTGCCAGAGAACTGGCAGAGGTATTGTAAAAAATATGACTGGCAAAGTGGAGAAGGATATTGAGGAAACAAGTACAAATAAATTCTCGTTAATGGCGTATGGTGCTTCTGTTCCTTGACAGTTTTGTCCTTTTTAGAAATCTAAAGTGCCGCAGCCTCATGCCAGTTGATGTTAGGGATGCAAATGTACCCTCAGCATTTTTTTTAAATTCTTCTCTATAAAAGGAGACCAGTTTATTCCTTAAACTCCCGTGTGCTTCTCTCTGAAACAGTGTGCCCCCTCCCACTGAGCTTTATTGATTCCAGCTTCTGCTGTGAAATCATATTTCTCCCTGTTGTGCCTCATAAGCCTTCTGTTAGCTTCCATCAGGTATTTGATTTAATATGGGGACCGAGTCATTCTTGCTCTACACTGATCTCTAGCTATTGCAATTCCATTAACTGCCAGACCTCTCACTTTTTTACCAATACTTGTGTTGTGGGAAGATTATTTGCTCTGCAAAGATCTGAATCTTTTGCTGAATGGTAGTAAGTTGGAAAAGTAAAAGTTATCCTTATTACGGAAATTGTCATGAGTTCCATTGGAAGTTCATGACATTTGGTTGTATTTGCTCTGCATTTAATAGAAAATATGTTTTGGGTAGCGTAAAAAACCAAAGGAAATATTTTGGCTCTCAGAGGAGTTAACCTAAACTAGGGGACAGGATTTTGCAGATACCTGCAATCCTGCAATAAAATCCTACAGTTTATGTGCTTTTCATGGTGGAGATCCTTTGGTTGATTCGTTACACTTCTGATTCCAGCTTTCGATAGGAGCATTTTCTGGTTTGTCTAATGACTGTATTGTCTAATGAGTCAGGTCTGGTTATTTCTCTTTTACTGACTTTGATTAATTTCATTTAATTTAGGGAACAATTGGCCTGCAAGATGGTGACCCATTGGTAAGATAGTTGTCCACTTTTTTTAATTCTTTAAAAAAATAAATATCTCAGATAGCGTTGTTCAGCCTATATGATAAAACCTGTGTGGATGCTTTTCCAGTGCCCCAATGCTTGTCCACCTGGCCGCCCAGGACATGCTGGCTTAATGGGAATGAAGGTAAGAGAATGTATTTGTTCAAGTGTTCCTCACAGAGATACTGTCTTAAAGTACCAAGGAGGATAATTGCTGGCTTAGCAAAAGAGCACTTCACTGTGGATTTCAAAAAGCGTTGCGTCAGCATGGATTCTTCGAGTTATTTCAACTCGACTGCCAGAATAACCTCTTGTCATTGAAATCTCTATTGCTGCTGTAATCTTCAAGGGAGAGTTTATGTGTGATCCTGAAAGAGATCTCACATAGTGATAGTAGGTGAGGGATTGCTTTATTCACTTTCTGGCCCGTTTGTAGGTGAGGGATAGTAGGTGAGGGATTGCTTTATTCACTTTCTGGCCCGTTTGTAGTCTAACTCCAGAAACTCTAATATTCCACCAAATTTTAGTCCTTTTCCTTTCTTTCTGTCTTCGAGGGGACCTATAATGTACCACATTGAAATGAACACTTTCTGAGTCTCATTTTAGTTAAGATTTATTTTTTTTTAAATATATTCTTTGCTGATTTCTAGAAGTACTGTTGGTCTGAAGAAATTATTATGGGGTAATGTAAGAAGAAATACTAATCTGCCTAGAAGTACAGCCTTGTTAGATCCAGGAACAGATATTTTTGAGTGTGGTACTTAATATGTTATGGTCAGCCGGTTAGCTCAGTCAGTTGAGCGTGGCACTAACAATGCCAAGGTGACGGGGTCCATTCCCGTTCGGTCCCCATGTGTTGCCTGATCTAGTCGAGAGCTGGCGTCCCTGGCGGCAGGGAGGCTGGATTAAATGATCTCTAAGGTCCCTTCCAGCCTAGGCCATTCTATGATTCTATGATTCTATGTGGTTGATCCTAGACAGTTGAGGAGGCAGTGATGAATGGGGATTGCAGAGGGAACAGTGAAGGAGTTCTGAGGAGTCTATGTCTGTTTTGCAAAACTCAATATTTTAATTTTGAATAATCTTTCTTTATTTATTTATCTCTATCTATCTGTTTATCTACCTCTCTATTTATTTACGTTTCTTTTAGGGACAGAAAGGTTCAAAAGGAGAGTCTGGTGAACCGGGAAAACAAGGTTATAAGGTAAAAAAAGGAAAACTCACAGTTGTTTTTAGCAAGCTAATCGTAATTTAGCCTCTTCTTCAAAAACAACATTATATTTTGTTAGAACTATTAATTATTTTACCAGAATGCGTGAAGAGATACTACATATCAGAGTGCCTCAGAGAAACAAAAGACATATCTCTAGTCTTCATTCTTCTGTACTCTGTATTTATTATGATGCAGAAGTCGTATTCCTCTTGCCTTTTTTTTTTTTTTGATCATTCAATTTAGTTATTATGGAACTCATGGCAAAATTGAAGTAAAATTCATCAGCTGGAATTCTTCCAGACATCTAAATGCAGAATTCTCTGGATTTACGAAGTAAATTGATGGCACAGATGAGTAGTATGGAATGAGGGGAAAAAAATGTATTTGAGAAAGAAAGGACACAGTATAAGTTCACAGAAGAAACCAAGCTCAATGCAGCTTGAAGACTGAGATGTGAACTGTTTTATGGTGTTTTATTTGAATTAACCTTGTTTAATATTGAAGTATTTATAAGAAAAGTTGAGAAGATTTACACTGCCTTGGTCTATACTTTAATGCTGGAGGAAGAATCTTAGAGAAAAGTAGTTTATTTTTTTTTTAAAGAATAACCATGCTCTTTATTCCTAAGCATACTGAAGAGAATATTAATTTATTAGAAACAGTTGGCCTATTTTTTCATGGCTGTTGAGCAGTTTTAGAGCTCAAAATCCCTCTTTGCAAATTGAACTGGCAGTAGGTATCATCATTCTATTATGTATGCTATCATTATATGGGAGACATTGTCAAATAGGTAATAATAATAATATTAATACGAGGTAAGGTATTATAATTAAAAAAATTCTGAAGCATGATGTGTTATTGTGATGCAAAGCTGCTAGCGTATCCAATCCATTGACAAATGTGAGTGTATGTTCATTACACTTTTAGTCTAAAAGGAGGAGAAAACCTGAAGAGATTAATGTCAAGAAATAAAACAGAATGATGGATTAAGAGTAAAATAGCATTATTCTTCTTTATACTGGCATTGGTTTGAAATTACACTTTCCACTAATAGTTGAATGGAATATGAACCTAAACAAGTATCTGTCTGTGTTCTGCAGAAGTAGCGTGACTGCGTTTGGATTCCATCAATCGGAACGTGGTGACAGAAAATAGTAAACGTGCCTCCTCTAATGAGCAAGCAGTGTGCGTGGCAGGGATTAGCTCCACATGTATTCCTTTTGCTTTCTCAGGGTGAAGAAGGGGACCAAGGACCCAGTGGTGAAGTGGGAGCTCAAGGCCCTCCAGTAAAGTATTTCCTCTTAAATAGGGTCACCTGTTTGCTTTATTATGTCTTTTTTTTTTCTTCTTATGAGGGCAGGTATTATAAAATCTTCACACACCTTACCCTTTATTCTGACGTATTGTCTATGAGTGAAAGAATTGCTTAGGTTCCTCTAAAAAGCTACATTAATTGCTTGGCACAAAGCTCTAAATAGTTCCATGGAAAGGCTTATTTTAAAAAGTATTTCATTTCATAAATTTTGTGTTGTGTTCAGATTGTGTAAATAGTTACTAATTTTGGTTTGGGTTTTTTTTTCCCTTGGCCTTTCTTTCCATTATTTCGATTACTCTGATTTCATCCTTGCAAAGCTGGGGTTTGTAAAACGTGGTTAACTGTGAGAATCAGCCTTAGCTAAGACTTAAGGATGAAGTAGGAGCCACTGAAGAACAGATTTTTATTTTTTAATCTTAATTTTTTTCCTCTTTTGGTTTTTTTTTCTTTTTGCGTGCCAAAGAAACATCCTTCAATCACGCCTATGGTTTTGGAATTATTGTCTTGTCCTTCTTCACTTCTCTTCTTTGGTCTGGCACATGCCTCCTCAGTTTGTTTCCTTGTGGTTACCACAGCTGAACAGGCAAGAGTGATCAGAGTAAAGGAGTCACTCCGAGTCAGAGAAATAGGCCTAGACATAACACATTTAATTTCTATAGTTTATTTTTCTGAATAGGGTCTTAATGCTTTTTCCCCAGGTATGAAATTATTTCTTTAATGCCATTCGTGTCCAGATGTGATATTATAGAGGAGCTTACCGTGATGCACCAGAAATCCAATCCTAAATTACAGAATTCTCTACAAACATAAGACGACATAAACCTTCAGATCAGGGCTAGAGAAAGATAAAGAAAGAAGAGAGACTAAAGAAAAGAAAGGATGCAATCTTTATGTTTGATGCTGAAAAAAATATCCCTGGTGTGGAGAAAAGCCTCTGCTGTTTGAAGGGCCTGTGAGGACCGATTCATTTAACTCTTTTTGATGAAGTTCTTTAGTCACTGTGAAATAACACAGTAGAATTAAAAAACAGTTAGAGATTGACTATTGGAATGGCATTGAATTGGAATGCATTACTCGTTTCATTTCCCTGTTTCATGGGTTGATGACCTTACAAACAAGCTTTAAAATAATTGTTTCATATTAAAGCATAGGAATTCATAATATGCAAAAAGTGATGTCAGATAAACGACCTGTGGAAAAGAAGACAGATAATGCTATAGAGGCGTAGATGGAGAGGCTGTCAACTCTCTTGTATTTTTTGTATGTTTCTTACATAAACGAGCGTGAGGCTCAGATCCATAGAAGGGACTAGGAATTCAGTCTCTGCAGCAGCACCTGCAATCCAACACTTATGTAATGCATTGAGGAGAAGACTTGCGTAAGTTGTCCCACCTTTGGGATAGGCGTTGCTTTTGGTGGGAAGGAGTGGATATTGCAGTGTGCCTACTTCTCTCTCAGAGCTTGGAGCAAGGATTAGACTGTGGTTCTCTCCCTTGTTAGGCTGCTGTAGTCACCGCTGTGTTACAACAGTTTTTCTCACCTTTTAGGCTGATGAAGCTTTAAATATTCTGTGTAAGATTTCGTCTAATTTTGTTAGGAGCACATGAAAGGGTGAGTCTGGTCAAGGAGCAGGTCTGCCTGTGCTGCACTGAAGTGCCTGCAGCTGTTCCATTAACACAGTTGTAGTGCATTCTTCTTGCTGCAGGACAAACACGTTATGGCTGAGAGTTTGGTCCTTCTGCAGAGAGGATATGTCTTGTAGTTTCAGCCTCTCAGGAAGAGGAGAAAATCGAAGCCAAATTTTCCATGAGACTATATTTTAAAGGGAAATTATAACAGTCATGGTACACCCTGCTGCACTAGGATGTGGCAGGTGTATAAACTTAGCATTTGTAGTCTCAAAAACCTTGCCCAGTTTTGTCTGCCTCTAGGGTTCTGTAAAGTCTGATGGTACCTTTTTTCCTGCATTTGTCCTATACCCTGCTTAAGAAAACTCAGCGCTTTTGCAGATCTTGCCTTCCTGCCACACAGGCTGCACAGGGAGAGTGCTTCAGCTCTGCGGTAATCAAAGAGAGAAATCAGTGGGTTTTTGCAGTCCTTAAGGCGTGCCTGTGGTTATATTATTCAACCTGGTAGTTTTGTTATTCTTTAAAAAGTCTTGAGTTAGGAAAATGTCAAATTACCATTTAAATTAAATATTCTAATGCAGAAGTAGCTGGATTTCGCCTTTTATACTAAAAAAATAGTAAAATAAGCATAAAGAAAGCATGTAGAACTCTTGAGTCTTCTTTCTGAAAGCTAGGACAGTTCTGATGAAAAGATTTATGCATAACTTGAATATACTTTTAATTTTCAGGGCATCATAGGTATCAGAGGTATAACTGGTATAATGGGACCTAAAGGTACCAAAGTGAGTATTAACCTTACTTTCCATAAAATGGCCTGGATAAAAAAAGTATACTCCCCTCAATGTTTTTAAAGCTTATTTAAATTTCTCCTTTTTTTCCCCCTGCATTTTCTGTGTCCTGCCAGCTATATTTCCATAGCTGCTGTACTTCTCATTAGGAAGAAAGGCAGCTTGATGCTTTTGATTAATGAAGTACACGTGCTCTTCACACCTTTCCTTCTGACCCTTGAATTTATAGTAGTTTAGCATTTGTGCAAATGTGTAGTTAGCAAAACAAAGTTATAGCATATATAAACTGTAGATGGTTTTATTTAAAGATAAAATTTATTAAGTAGTCTGTCCTGTGATTTGCATCTTCCTGAAGCTGTTTGCTTCCACTGTCCCAGTTTTTATCAGGGTTTTTTGTTTATAGTTTGTTCTTTTTCTCTTCTGTCTCTTGCATCTTTTGTGTCTTAAATTGCCACTGGTAGGATTTATGTCTATATGTGTTCTGGCTTTGGGTAATTTTCCTGGTCTTCATCAAAGTGTTCCTAACTGTTATTTCAAAACTGACTGTTCCATTTCTTTTCTTATGATCTTGCTAAATCTGAATGTTAGAAATTTCTGTAAGGAGTAAAATGTAACAATAGTGCCATTGTCTCCTTCCCCAGGAATGAAATAATGGAAAACTTATTCTGTTACTGCCTATGTTCAGTAGCAACATCAAATTTGTTCTTGTTACTAATCTTCTCATGAGTGATTTTCCTAACCTTGTGGACACATGTATTATTACTATCTTACTTTGCTTTTCTGGCCTTCTTTCTATCTTTTAATATTTTGCCTATGTTTTTGTGCTGTTTTGTCTATTTGAAGTATTTACTACATCTGTTTGAAAAAGGAGTTCTTTATTCTCTGTAAATCTTTTTGAAAACTTTTCTTTCCCCTCTCGATTTATCATTACTTACAGGGCAGCAATTGCATTGTTTCAATGAAACATGTTAAAAATAGCTGCACTGCAGTTGTTCGTTCCTGTTAACATTTTGATGCTGTTCTATTATAGTGAAGGATATAGTGATTATTAAGGAAGACACAGATGTTTCCTGAAGTAGTGTGAAAAGACCTACCTCCTTGCTGTCTGACATGGTATTTTTTAGAGAATGAACTGGATGTTGTATTTTGAAGGACGTTTTTCCAGAGTTAAAAAATACTGGCTTTCATAATTCCATAAAAACACGAGATAGATTTAGCGGAAAAAAAAGTTTACCAAAATTCCTTTGTGGATTTGGTGTTTTTTTCCTTTTTTTTAATTAGAGCTATAAAACCCACTCAGCTTTAGAGAATTTGCAGCTCCCAGCAAACGATGAGGGAGCATAAGTTTTAATGTCTTGTGTTACCTACTTTTTTTGCAGGGAGCCCGGGGGCTTGATGGTGAACCTGGTCCCCAAGGCCTTCCTGGTGCACCTGTAAGTAAAGAGTGTGTTAGCCAAAGACTTCCCAGGGTCTTTCCAGTTAGATACTAAGTCTTGAATGCAAGTAGATTTATTCTGGTTTTATTGCTAAAATACATTTTTTTTCTTATAGGGAGATCAAGGACAGAGAGGTCCACTGGGAGAGACAGGTCCAAAGGGAGAAAGGGTGAGCACGGACGAAGTTCAACTCATGTTGATGTGCAAGCATGGGTTACTTAGAGCATATAAGCATAATTGGTACTCTCAAAGTGTTGCGTATCTGAATGAGAATGTGTTAACATTCTTTGCATCTATCATTTTAATGTATTTATGTTTATTTTTTAAAATTATTATTCTTAGGGGCCTCAAGGTACAAGAGGAATTAATGGTCTCCCTGGGCCTAAAGGAGAGCCTGTACGTATATTTCATTTTTTAATTTGCTTCATATCATGCTAATTTGTATATCAGATTGCTTGGGCGAAATCTCTCCAACAATATGTTAATGTTTTTCTTCTCTCTTTTATTCTTTCAAGGGCTTACCAGGAGTCGATGGCCGGGAAGGGATCCCTGGAATGCCTGGAGCAAAAGTAAGGCACAGTTGCCATATATCTGAGCTTTCATAGTGCCCTAGATTTGTTTACTGGCTTTTATTGTGTTGCTGCGTGTGGCTTTGTGCACATTATTAGGGTAATTGCATGAACTTTTCCATACTACAGACCCAAAAGTACTCCAGCTCTGTGTTCTAAAAATAAAATTTTCCTTTTTGTTTGAGTTGCATAAATTACAACATAAAATGTTTTTTCAGGGAGAACCAGGAAAACCCGGAGCTCCAGGTGATGCAGGGCTTCAGGGGCTGCCAGTAAGTATCTGGTATTTTACCGTTGAATCTTAGGCTCAGTTCAAACCACAGAAAGGCCACATATAGGTTAGTTTGGTATGATGTTGGAGTAATTTAAGTGAAATCCAAAGTAACAAGCCCAGGAAGAGTACGTGTAATGCAAGGGGAAGTTCTGCTATGCATATCAAAACCTTTTGCACAAAAGCCTAAAACTCCTTGTGGTGCTGTCATGAGGAACTTGCTCTTACAAAATGTTTGTGACCACTATGCAATTCTTTCAGGGTTTCTCATATCAGAGACCCTGTGGATATTACGGTGTGACCCCACAGTTAGAGATGATCTCATTGTATTGACTAGGGCCAAACCTGTTCTCATGGTGAGCTGGAAGAGCCAGCCTGTGAGTCTGACGTACCTTAGGTGACCAGTCATCTCCTGGTGGTATTCTGCTGGCTCAGAACATCTGGAACACATCATACTCGTGCTTCTTTCTGCAGGGGGGGCGAGTTTTCTGCTGTATCCCCTGTGGTGAAGTTACAGGGAACCAGCAGTGCTTGATGGGCTCTTTTAGAAGGTAATCCTCACACGTTAACTGAAGAAGTTTGAAAACCATGCCAGTTGTCAAAAGCTACATAGAAACTTCTTTGAAACACTGTGCTGTAAGAGTAATTGCTGTGAGGGTGTAGTGAAGGAGCTGTATTAAAACAGAACTGTAAGTAAAATTTGTGGTACGAAATGAGCTCTGAAGCTTGGAAGAAAATTTGGTAAAAACGTACTTGCTATAAGCTGTTGCAGGAAAGTGAGGAAGGGATGAAATGTATACAAAAGGGTATCCGTTATCTCTACCTCCAGTCTCAGAATACTGGAACTAAGAATATCTTTCTAGTCGAAGCCAGAAAAAGCCACAACTAGCTTTTCCATGCTCGTTTTGCTAATTTATTAAGCAGGAGTAATAGTCCTTGTCTGTTACTTCATAAACAGAGAGAATTCAAGCTTGGTGTGTTATTGAATAAAAGTGCTTCAAGTTAAAGGACTAGAAATACTTTAATGTTAGAAAGATGGTTTTAAACACCATTTCCAATCCCCTTAACAGCAAATAAACACTGTAAATGTTTTTTCTTCAGGGTTTACCAGGCTCTCCAGGTGTAAAAAAAAAATTCCTGGCCCAAAGGTAAATCGTCTTGGGAATTGACTTTCTTATAACACTGTATTTGTGCTAATAGAGTTCTAAAGTATTCAGTGAAATTATATTAACTTTCTGTTGTGCTGAGAGACAAATCTTTGGCTGAAAGAATGAAGTATATTCTTTTATCAACTCTAGTTCTGTGCTTTTTCATGATTCTTCTGCTACATGATGTGGTTTTCATGAGTCCAGGCATAAAAGACTACCTAAAAAAGTGATCTTCTTTTAAACTTATGTAAGTCATTGCTAGAGGCGGCACGTGACGTGGGTACCTTGCTACAGTTTGAAATGAGGGATCTTGTAATAAGAATAATATTTATAGCAGCCCTAAGTTGATTCAGTCACAGAGAGTGTCATCTCTGTTTACCAAATTGCAGCACCAATTCCAGTAAAGTTAAAAAAAGTATTGTATGATTAAGACTATGGAATGTTTCAGGCATTAGTGTTTGAGTTTTGTTTCACATAGTTGAAAAAGAAAACTCGTTTGAGACATGAATTTCTTGTGAAATGACATAGAATGATGTTATTCTTTTGTGATTTGAGAGCAGCAGTGAAGCTGATTTGGGATTTGTCAGTACGTAACCAACAATAGAACTAAAATCTGACTTTTGAAAAGTTAAATAGAAGGAATTAAGTGAAACTTAAATGAAAACCAAAACAAAGGTGGAAGTTAAAAAAATGAATATAGGCTGAATGTTTTAGACCTTATTGATTTCCTAAAATGAAACAGGAAATCATTGGCTTGGCTAATATCTTTCATCTTTTGTCCCATAGGGTAATAGAGGTCCCCCTGGGGTGCCAGGTTTGATGGGAAATTCTGGTAAACAGGTAAGATCATTAGTCTTATTCAAAAGATGTAGAAAAATTAAAAATTTTGCATTGTGCAAAAAAAACTTCTTAAATTTGTTGCATTCTTCTTATTCCCAAAACAGGGTCAGCAGGGTCCAGAGGGAGAAGCAGGTCCAACAGGACCACGAGGACCACCAGTGAGTATTGAATGGATTTTTAACTGAGCATATGTAATATTTCAGTGTATCAAGTTAAGATTGCTGAAGCTAACCATGAGGTAAAATTATAATTCAGGACAAGTGCTAGTTTTTAAGGTAAATACTAGATGTAATTTAACTTCCTTCTGTACCAGGTGGATGTGCATAGTCATGCAGAGAAATCCAGAAGCGTGTGTCCTGTAGTTGTTTCTGGCTTTGGTGATAGATTAAATTTTAAATCTTTGTTATATTCTTCTGGTCTTTGCTTTTAAATATGCTGAGTAAAAACCCAAACAGAGGGAATGAGGGTGGTTTGTGAGAAAAAGCTGGAACCAAACTCCTATTCTTCCACTGCAACAGTCAACTCCGGTGTTCCCAAAACTGTTCTTGGGCATTATCTAGGAAAATCCAGTTCCTCTGGACTAAACATTTGCCATGGACGATGGTGGGACACTGCTCAGGCCTGGGCCTGGGCCCTTTCTGACTGGCATTATGAATGCACCTATAGTGGTGTGAAGTATAGCATTCATCTCTACTTGCAGACCCTGTTGAAACATTTTCTTTCACTGAAGATTTTCCTTAACACTAGATAGATTTGGAGGACTGGAGAGATCATTGCTGGGAAGGCAGCTCGCTGCAGGAACTAAATGTGCTAAGGAAAGTGAACTGATCGCATTTGCTGCAGCTGTGTGTTGAAGGCAAAGGACAGTTGTTCTTGAGACGCTAGAGAGTCTGCTGGGTACAGATTTCTGATTCCCTCTAGAGAATGGACCTGGCACGGATTGAAGGTACATAAGGCTGATCTCATTTCCCTTTTGCTGTTAATCCTTCTGTGAGGGATGAGAGGGTCAGTGATTTGAAGAAAATTTTCCTGTACCACAATTCAATCTGATGACATTGACAAGGCTCCAGGCTCTGTAAGCAATTGCTTGTGCAAGCTTCTCTCATGCTGCTGATACCCGAGGGATGCTTTTCTGGAATTTGCTGAGCTTCGGCTATCATACGATGACGTAGTAGTTTTACTCATGCAGTTGTAAGTTTCTCTTCATACAGGGCTTAGAGAGTTCCTGGTATGGATATATTTGTAAGGGTATGTCACAGGTCAGAAATCTCTCTTTTGAATTAACTCTTAAACATACAATAACAGTCAGCCAAGTAACAGATTTTGGGTTTGTCTGTGGTTTGTGTTATCGTGTGCTGGAGGCAATAATTCATGAGATCATGTTTATTTTGGACTGAACCATTGTACGAGCACTGTGTCCTCAGCTGCCTATGAATGATATAAAAATCCGAGCTCACTGGGCAACAATACTGGAAGTAAGTAGGCTGAAGGTATCGTTAACCTCCCACGTACCCAACTTACAAACATTTATCTTTGTGGTTTGTGTTTAAAAGTCCTGGATGCACTAGAGAAAGTTTTCAGCCCTTTTCTTCTTGACCTGATATTTTGTATGCTTGTAACAGGAATAAGAATTATAATTGAATCAGACCAAAGTAATTGCCCATTCTGATAATGCACTGTAATCTGCTAAACTATGCTTTTAATCCTTTCAATGTGAACATGAATTTACAAAATCAGCAGTCCATAGAACAGGAGTTGACATGCAAGGTTAATTATTAATAACCCTGTAGTCTGACAGAAATACTTAATGCAGATTAAATGCTATGATTTTTCTGATTATCACTTGAGAGACCAGCAAGATATTTGGATATCTTGCCTTTATTTTCTCCATCTTTACAAAGTGCACTCATTTTGGAAAACATGTGAACACCACACCAAAAGTATAGAAAGGAAAAACTTTTGGTCAGGACAAAATGGAGAAAGGAAGTAAATTGTTGATAATAAAGTAAGTTTACATGTAGAACATTAAACAGCAATTATGTCTCATCTATAGTTCCTTTAAAGCTATAGCAAGCCTTGAATGATAACGATGTTTAGTTTCCTTCTGCTCAAGACTACAGGCAGCATATGACTGGAATGGCGTTCAATTTTCTTTATTAGAACGCTGGAAAAAACATTACGTCCACACCAAAAACTGGAATGATCAGGGTTTTTTGTTGAAGAAGGACACAGGGTTGAATTATTGAACCTCAATGAGCTTTGAGCTAAATTGAGTTTGTATTTATTTTTAGGACAGTATAAAGGGCGCTTTTTTTTCCCTTCTGCAGTATGTACGTGTGGTAGATAGATATGAGCCTCAATATTTAGGAGTCTGCCCATATATTTCCAGAAAAAAAATATAGTCTGCCAGTTAAATAATTCTAAATGCCATGATTTTGAAGCTTCTAAAACTAGAAAAATTCTGAAAATAAGTTGACAGAAGCTTTTATAATTGCTCCGAGAGGATTTTGCTTTTGAGTAGTATTGTATTTTTTTCATATTTTTGAAATTTTCTCACAACTTTAACATTTGAGAGTTTTTGACCCAAGTTCTATAACCAAACAGTCTCAAGGCCTGAGAATTTTATGGTTACTGTTAGAGAATTTTCCTTGTCCTTTTCCTTCCTATTTTGAATTATCCTCTTTAACACCTCAGTTCTTTTCTTTCCTCTTTGTTCTGTTTCACTCTTGGTGCAGAAGACTCAGGTAGAAGTCCTTCTCCCTTGGAGTTGGGAGAAAAACTGATGTTTTGCAGGACACAAAGAACTTCAGTCCCTTAATGTACCCTGAGAGCCACATGAGAAATCCTTTCCACTTTCCCCATTTCACTTACCCCTGTTCTTCACGTCACTACTGGGGAAGGACAGAATGGCTGGAGCTTCAGGAGGGAAAAACATACAGCTGTGTTACGTTAAACAAATTGCCTGACTTTTCAGCTTTGGCTACTTGCAAAACGTATCATTCTGAGATAAAAATTTCAACTAGTGTGTAGTTTTTTTGGGGGAGTTACACAGTGAAGTGCTATTAAGCAATCATCAATGACTTTGTGGGACAAATTAATACTTCTAGACTGTTTGCCAAGTGGCCTGTAGTATCCTCTGCCATAAACCATGTTTATTTTCAGTATTAAACAACGGTTGGCATGTAGTTGGAAAAGTATTGTTACTAAGCAACAAATTCAAATTTTGGCCGTTTATGTGTCTGTAAACATTTACAGTTTCAGAAGGAAGATATTAAATGGTTGAAAACAAGATAACCAGCTCTAATTAAAAGTAAGCACACTCATGTTGGAAGACTTACTTCACTGATGACAAATATTCTTAGAAGAAAATTACTTTGCAAAGTATTGTTTTAGTCTATCATTGCTTTTCCTTAGGAAACTTAAGTTGGCACCTGAGTGGGGGGAAAAAAGTTTTACTTTTGTTTATTTATTTTACTATTGATCTGTTCAGTAAAACAGGAAAATTACTAGAGCAACATGGAAGTTTTGCCTTTTGTTTCTAAATCGAATATATTCTCCACTCCACTCTAATTGTTTTGTCGGTTAACCTTATGTTTGCTTCATGTTACTTTAGCCAATCCAAGTAATTATCAAACTCATTTGTGTTTTAAACCTAAGCCAGTCATCATGGCAGGTGGCCCAAAGGAGGCAATTCTTAATCATCAGAATGCCATTCCTAATGAGTTGAATTTAGCCATGCTCTTTAAGCTGCTTAACCATTTTCTTTCATATTTGGTGAGATTTAGTAAGATTTAGTTTTTCATACCGGTTCTGCAGCAAATACTGACCCTTGCTCCTGCTTTCTTCGTCCCTTGTTTTTCTTCAGCTATTTAACCCTTAAATTGCTAACATTTGGAGAACGCGTGTCCCATCCTGTGGTTTTGCAGTGAAAAGAGAGCTTGGAACTTTTAAGTAACAGCTTAACTTAAAATTCAATTCTTGCCTAGCAAATCGAGCAAACTCGATGTATATGCGGGCCAGTGTATATATGTTGTTAAGGATTTAGGATGCAATACACATTTTCCTGACATTAGCAACAGAAGATAAGTATCTCCCTGCCTAAAATTTGATGTCACAGCCCCATCTGAGAGATTTTTGAGGGGCCCTGGTTGTTTGCGCTGACTCTGGAGGTGCCTCTCTGCTCATTGTAAAGAGGGAGACTGGAGAGGACCCTGGATTTGGTACTAAAATGTCAGGCGGCCGAAAGTGAGATGAGAATACTGCTTTCAGTATCTTAAATTAGTTTCAGCTAAATAACTTTCTGAGTCTTTAGAGACATTTTTGTCTTACCTACCCTGAAATATATATTTGGTTACCCTAACAGTTAAAACTAAAATCTCACTTTTCTATCATACTCTTTCTACTTGACTCCAGATGAAATAATGGGTTGTTTTCCACAGTTGGTAATGGTGTAGTGGTATTGGCAGGATGAAATGTCCTTGCCTCAGTTTATATGATATATTTAGGTATTAGAGGGCTTGTTTTGTATATAATTTCAGAGGTATTCCACAAGTGGTGGGTGATAGTTTGCATTTAAGATATAGCTAAAGGGGTACAGTCTACAGCAGAGTCAAAATAACAAAGTGGATTTCCATCCTGCCAGGTATGCTTTTTATCCAGTAAACCTACGCCTCCAGATGAATGTAACTAAATTTTCTGACTTTGCACAGTTCTCCAGAATGGTTTGTACAGGGTAGCACCTTCTCCTCTGTCACAGACTACATATTCCAGCCAAACCTGATTAGAATCTCCAAGCCTCTCTCATTCTCATGCTATCCACCCCTGTCTTTCCAAACTGCATGGTCAGATTCTTGTTTGCTACTTTGCTCTTTACTCCTCCAACAACAGCTTCCTCTGGCTTTTGGGTTTGCCTGACCTTTGGATGTCAGCAGATATCCCAACGTTGGCTTCTCCTCAGCAGTGTAGACAGTAGCCTGGATCAAAAATGGACTAGTTATGGAGTTAATGTGCTAAAGCTGGCCTAGACTCAGTTAACACTGTAGATGCACCCAGTATGAAAGGTCTCTGTCCTTTGCACTTGGCCACAGTATCACCTTTGAAGAGAATGGCAGCTGCTGGGCTGCTGCTTGTGCCCAAAGCATGACGAAGTTAATAGGAGGACACATTTGCTGCTACATCTATTGCTTTAGCATTATCCTGAGCACTACAGTTTAATTATTACTCTGACAAAGATGGAAAGGTACATTTAAAACCTCAGAGAAAATTTGCTCTGTATTTGCTCTTCTACCATATAATAGTTTATCTTTTTAGATGCTTTTTAGTACTGTACTGAAGGTCAAAGAAAGAGCCCCTGTCAGTGCTTCCGTGGGTAAATCCTTGAATTTAAATGAATAATTCCTCTGAGATTTTGGATGAAAAAATATAAGTCTCACAAATATATAATTGATAAATGGGTTACATTTTGCAAAAGACTTTGGAGTACTAAGAAGTTCATCCCAAAATGTTCTTTGTTTATTCTTTTTTATTCCGCACAGATTTAATTCTCTGTGGCACTGCTATTGAATATGCTGAAATTGATATGACATACATTATGAAAACAAAATTCTTAAGTGGAAGCGAGGTTTTGTTAAAGTATACAGTGTGAATCACCTGTCAAGAGATCCTAATTAGTATTTCAGTTATCTGGGCAACTGAGATGCAAATTATCTGGAGCATATTCTCATTCTTATTATTGTTCCACTCAGCTGATCAACAGGAAATCAATAAACCAGTGGAAGAAACTGTTTTAGCATGAGAATGTATTCTGTCACTGCTTGTGGGAGTTCTACAAAAGAATCAAATCTTCAACATTTCAGTGAGGATGGAAACCATCCCAGACAACCTAAAGGAAGGTCTCCAGTAAATCCTGTAATGTCCCCTCACATTCAAAGGCTAGATATAGATCTGTCAGAACTGTGAGAGAGACATGAAGCCTTTATTTAAACATATCAAGTTGTCCAGCAGTCTTGCCTTGTATCAAAAGGAAGGTAGATTTTCATTGTAACCACAGCCTAGCATGTCAGCTGAGGGAGGACTGTGCCCTGGTTTTGTTGAATTTCTGTTGTATATGGGCTGTATGGCCTTGCCATCCCTTTGGGAGATTGACCCCATCCTCAACAGTACTCACACACTGAGTGACAACAAACGTAACAGAGATAGAACCATAGAATTGTCATGGGCAGGGACATCCCCCACTAGACCATGTTGCCCAGAGCCCCATCCAGCCTGGCCTTAAAAACTTCCATACTGCCAAAATACAGGAGCAGCCCTGGACCACGCTTTTGGTCTGACTGAAACATTGACTGAAACAACCTCTAGATGGTGGCCAGACTTTGGAATACTTCAGGGGCCATGTGCTGTGACAGGCTTGCAATCCAGTCTGTCCCAGCTCACCAGCGCTGCTGTTTTCCCTCTTCAAATGTTACACCTTTAGGAAAAGTAGGGATTTTGAAATGTGTCAAAAATCCATAAAACACAGAGATTCTGGTCTTTGTTTAAACAAACAAACAAACCAGTGCAACATGCCCATTGGTTTGTGAGTGGCCTGCAGCTATGGACTGTGTTATGTATAGGACCACCATGTAAGAAAGGCGGGCTGAGGACATGGCCAAACTGCCTTCTCTTCTGATTATTGCCTGTGAGTAACTTAAAGCACAGAGGAGGGTTTTGTCTGACCAAGTACAGATGTCAACCACTGAGCCAGTTATTACAGAAACCCTCTCATAGGCTCAAAATATGGAACATTCTGGGAGATGACTTGTGATGCATTTCAAATGTTTACACAAGGGCATTCCAAGATGGCTTTTTTCCTTCATCTGCTATGAAGGGAACTAAGAGTAACTAGCTCAGTATAAATCCCATCCCAGGGCCACTTCAGTCAGATGCAGCTCAGAGGAAGCTTTACCGTCTTTTGAGTTATGCTGTGAGCCACTGGGATTCCTGATTGTTCTTTAGGGCACAGGTCCCCTCTTACTTGCTAAACACAACTTGGGCACATGTTGCAGTGGTGGCTTTTAGTTTGAAGTAATCTGTCTTTACAGACATAACGTCAATATTTGTAGGAAATCCTTTTGTACTCCAGTTTTCCGTATCCTAACCTTCTTCTTTACCACCTTGGAAAAGCATTGGTGTTTGAAAAAGTGCTCACAGTATATATTTGACAGGAGATTTTTTTTTAAATTTAAAATAAAGTGGAAGATTTTTCTTGCATTCTGTATGACTGATGGAATTTTTGATGCACTCGAGGTTTATCATACGATTTTAGTTCTGTGGAAGGTAACATTGCTTTTGTTATATAAATGTATAGCAATCAGACATGAATGTTACAACATATATGAGGGGACAAATTTCAAATACCATAATTTTAATCCTCTTTATTGATTCAGAAATGTAGTAGTATTCCAGGTCAGAGGTGTAGTACCAGAATTTCTGTAATTAAATAACAGATTTTCAAAAAGGTTAATGCATTTTCAGCATTGTAAAAAGAAGACGATTTGGGGGGCGTTTTTATTTTTAAGGGTTTTTTAACACAAAAGCTTCTAGAAATTGTGCAAAGTCCTTTAAAAGTGTAGTGATTTCAACACTGTAGGATATTCTGAAGGAAATTAATGGAAAAGTCTGTTTATATTTGGTTCTCTGATCTCTCCAGGATGCCTAATTATTTCTTGGATTGTAGAGTTAGTTTTTCTAAGCTTGTGTGAGAAGTGGTCATTTCATTTATGGCCTGGTGTAAAAGGCAATGTTTGCCATCTCTTTTTATTGTTCAATATGTCACAATATTTCACAAGATTGTTCTTACTGTGAAGAAAATATCTGTATTTAAATATACCCATTGTATACAGCACTAGAACACTTAGATCTGCTTTTAGTCTAAGTTTTTCTAAGTTTTCTATTCACATGTCTAATAACCTCAATTCTTGATATTCTATAATCTTAACTGCTATATCATGCTTTTATATCAAGTACCCCTTATGTATTCACACAATGGAAGTAAGGAAATGTCTCAAGTGAGGCTTACACATGTTGGGATACTCTTAAGTTTATCTGTACAGGTATGTGTCTGTACAGGTGAGACTAAATGTGTAAAATTCATTGATCTGTTCTGAAAAGTTCAGTCGTAAGAGATAAAACCTTTTTAAGAAAAGTACTTTAGTTCAAAAATTGTATATATTCAAATAGCTGCATTTGTATCAGAATGGATAAATGTATCTGAAGTGAAGGTATAAAGTAAAAATCCAATAAAAAGCATGTTTAGAATAGAGTCATAGAATGGTTTGGGTTGGAAGGGACCTTAATGATCCCCTAGTTCCAACTCCCGTGCCTTGGCAGGGACACCTCCCACCAGACCAGGTTGCTCAAAGCCCCATCCAGCCTGGCCTTGAACACTTCTGGGGAGGAGGCTCCCACAGCCTCTCTGGGCAACCTGTTCCAGTGCCTCACCACTTGCACAGGAAAGAATTTCTTCCTAATATCTAATCTAAATCTACCCTCTTACAGTTTGAAACCATTACCCCTTGTCCCATCACTACACTCCCTGATATAGAATCCTTCCCTTTCTTTCCTGCAGGCCCCCTTCAGGCACTGGCAGGCCGCTATAAGGTCTCCCCAGAGCCTTCTCTTCTCCAGGCTGAACAATGCCAGCTCTCTCAGCCTGTCCTCGTAGGAGAGGTCCTCCAGCCCCTTGACCATTTTTGTGGCC